ATGAGGCAAAACAGACTCAAGTGGTGCCAGGGCAGGTTTAGGTTGGATGTTAGGAAAAATTTCTTCCCTGAAAAGGTTGTCAAGCCCTGGAAGGGGCTGCCCAGGGAAGGGGTTGAGTCCCCATCCCTGGAGGGATTTAAAAGCCATGTAGCTGTGATGCTTAGCGACATGGTTTAGTGGTGGGCTGGCAGGGTTAGGGGAACGGTTGGACTTGATGATCTTAAAGGTCTTTTCCAACCTAAATGATTCTATACTGTGAAACCCCTATGATTTCCAGTACAAGGTGTTATATGCTACAAATTGTCATATGTTTGGTTACAGTTTTGTCCCCCATCGGCCCCTTTCTAGAAGGGCAGCACTGGGACATGAGGAGCCAGGCAGGAGAGGCTTCCAGTGACCACGAACTGATTGCTTAAAAATCACCTCTGACAGGTTGTCTCTTCTTCTGCGATGTCCACTTCCCTGGGATCATTTTCCCCACGTATCCTTTCAGTCCCTGAACTCGCTCGTGTTTCTGGATTTGTTCCTCCTGTTTTTTGTTTGTTTAGTTTTATTTGTTTTCCAGGTGAGATTTATGCCCTAATAGCACCAGCAGATGAGGTTTGTACTCTAAGCCAGCTTTGTAGGTTACCATTTAGAAACCAGAAATCAGGGTTTGCTTTGCAATTCTTTTTATCTCCTTGTTCTCCAACTCTCAGCTTAGTGGTTTGACCTTTTGCATAAGCTATTTTTCATCAGCATTTGCCAAGGTTTTCTTAAACACTTTAGCAGCGCTTTGCAAGCAGAGAGCACAAATGTTAACTATTTCATTCTTTGTATTATCTGTGCTCTGTTGACTGAGTTTGTTGGTAGTAGATTAGTCTATAATCTTGGGTCAAGAGGTCTGAATGCTGGAAGCCATAAATTATGTAAAAATGACCTTTGATTCATTGTTTCAAATTCCACTTTTGTTTTGAAACTTATAAGGGAGTATTCATGTATTTCTGTGTTTCTCTGTAGGTCACGTTGCATTTGAATCCCATTTCATCAGTGCATATTCACCAGAAGCCCCTGGTGTTTCTTCTCAACTCTCCTTTGCCTCTGGTCTGGAAGCTAAAAACAGAAAGACTGGCACCTGGAATCCGAAGGGTTTTCTTTGTAAGTATACACAGTCCTCTGGCCTGCTCTGTATCATAGCTACTTGTCGCACAAGACAGAGTTAATAGCATTCATTTGGAAAGTTTTTAAACATACGTTAAAAAACCCCAAGTTAACAGGAGGTCATGTTTCAGTGTAGGGCTCTGGGGAGCAGTTAGGTGGCAGGGCAAAACAGTTTGGAAAAAATACCCAATTACTTGTTATGTAAATTCAAGGAAAAGAAACCAAAATTGCTTTTTCAGAATCTGCATACTGTGTAGCTATGAACGCTAGCAGCCGGTTCAAAAAGCTGTGAGGGTGTAACAGATTGCCAGTCCTGATTAGAAGTTTAATGGTACCACAAGGCAAAAAAACTCCAAGCAGTGGGAAATACTATGGGTGGATGCTAGTTGTGTGGTCTGTGACCAAAACAAAAATCTGTATGTGTTGAGCTCAATATGTACAATTACGGTTTATGTCTCTAATGAAGCTTGGTCTATTGAAATAACCGAGCTAAGCCCAGAATGAAGTCATTTTTTTATTTCTCAGAAAGACTGGAGCACTGCTTATAATGTAGGATCCAAATATTACCTAGTATTTGTAAATCATGTCCTTACAGTTTGCCAGGATGTTCAAGTTTGCTATTTGTAGTGAAACAGACAAGTTGTTTGGATTAAATTCTTAACGCGTGACATCATGTCTAATCATGAGTTGTCTTTATTAAAGTTGCAGCTTTTACTATATTCAACTCTAATTGCAGAACTAAACTTGATTATTTTTAGCTGTATCCTTATAGGGTTTAGTTTTGCTCCTCCAGCACAGCTGACAGTGGTAGGCCAGACTGTTTCTGCAGCCCAGGATGGGAGCTTAACAGTGTCACTGTGCGTCAGCAGGAGGGGAAGACGGACGGTGGTGCAACACTGGCGCCCTGGAAAGGGACACTGCTCTCTCAGGTGACCTGATATGGTGGTGACACCGTTAAGTGCACCAAAAGTCACTTGCTGGACACCAAAAGTTTTCTAGGATTGTTTTTCTTTTTCCTGTCTTCAGGGTACAAGAGTAGGAGTACCCTTGGTATTTTGAACTTTGAAGGAGCCCATCCTGTTTCCAGTGCAATGTGTTACTGACTGGCGCAAAGAACATGGGCTTATTTGTATGCTAAGGTATTCACAATCTCAGGTTTTCTCATTACTGTGTTAGAGACTCTTAACTGTTACCTTCTTGCTGACCGTTCCTGGTATATGTCCTTACTGCAACCAGTAGAGTTCAGGTCTGCTCAGAAAGTGACTGAGGAACAAGGTGATGAACAACAGCATGAGAAGATTCCTCACTCCTCTCCTGGCCAAAAGAAACAGCACCTTTCAGCAGTTAATCGAGTCTTGGACCTACTTTCAGTTTAGTTTTGGTCTCCTCCTACAGTTACTACTTCATCACTTCATCACTCCCATATCAACTAGTTTGTGTTCAGCTATCTCTTCCCTCCTCTTCCTCCTCCTCCTCCAGGCTTTTCCCTTTCCCTCGCCTTGCCTCTGGGAGTGAAGAGGTGCTCTGCTGAGAGCCATCCATTTCTGTGCCCGTGTTCAGACTGCAATCATGCTGGGCTTGCTTGGTTTGGCTCAGCGGGGCTTCAGCAGGCTGCATTAAGGCATAGGAACAATAGGAATGTGCCTAAGGCCTCGGCTGCCAAAACTGTACGATTAGCTAAGTGTTTGCTTCAGAAAACTGCTTCAAGCTCTCCTGGTTACTAAAACAGGCTTCAAAATACGAGCAGCAGCGCTCACGATGTGTGCCAGACAAGAAGTGGTCTGACCTCGGGAAGTGCCACGGTAAACCTGGCCGCTGATGCTGCAGGAAGGGGTGGGCTGAGTCTCAGGTGGGGCAGGAGAACCTCGTAGACATTACAGGTTCAGTTCTCTGTTGGTGGGACTCAGATACCTCCTCTTGGTCCTCCAGCCTCTCTTCGGCTCTGCTGGTCACAGTAAGGGCTGAAATTTGGGGTGTCTCACACTGTCCTCCCAGCACGTGCCTGCGGCCCTGGGATAACGCTGCTCGCCGCGCAGATAGGAGAGCTCGCCTTCCCATTGCAAGGAGTGAACTAGCTCTCAGTGTTGACCCATCCCTAGTTGCGTTTAAACATCTGAATAGCTCTCCAATAACACTTTTGGATCTCTTCAAGTGCCATATAATTTATGTATTCTTCCTTCCACCATGTTAAAGGTTCTATTTTTCTCTTCTCTAAAGAGCTGGAAGAATGAGATTGCAGAACAAGATAATACCAGGGTACCAACCCACCGTTACCTCTCCCAGTTTAGTCCCTGCAGTCCCTCTCACTCCAGAACTTTATTCTCTTTTCTTGTCTCTCTAAGGCAATATTTTTGCTGCAAACGTAAGCTAACTTCAGTCTTTTATCAGGGGCCTTCACTTCCCACTTCTCATGTACCAATTTCTTGGTAGCTAGTGCGGCTTGGGACAATAGGCCACGAGGTTACAGGCTGAACAACTTAAACTGGTGCTCATCCATTGCTTTTCCACAGTTCCACTCTGCTCACAAGGACAAACACATTGTTTTCCCCAATGCTTTCTGAAAAAAAGAGCACAGAATCATGCAGCACCGAAAACATGGGGAATCCTGAGTAAGTCCTAGCAGCACCTGTGGGCGTGTGCAATATGCCAGAAAGAAATCCAGGGGCTCTAGTTTTGCAGCAGAGCTTTTTGCCTGTGTTGGGCTGTGCCAGGTTGCAATCCCTGGGGCTGCCTCTAGCCTAGAGGAGCCTGTCCCTTTGCAGAATCAAGAGTTCTTGTTTCAGGTGAGTTGTGGTGCAGGTGGACAGCCTGCTTCTACTCTAGTAGTGGAGAGGCTCCCTGCCACCTTGCCAGAGCCTTCAGTAAGTGGTAGAGCATTGAGCCTAGGGGTGTAAATCGGAGCTGAGTGCAGAGCTTGCTTCTTTGGCCCTTGTTTGAAAATACTTGGCTTACCCATGTACTTCTGCAGCTCTGTCTTATTCTCCTTAAATGTATAGCCAAGCCAGAAAACGGAGTATTTTGAAACATAAAAGATTTCAAATTTTAAAAAAATCCTTTTTTAATGCCCATGAATTCTATTCTCAAAACAGAAATCTGTCTCATGCATACCATAGGAGTGTCATAACTATTGTGTCTGTCTCTATGGAAGCCTCAGGCAGGATAATCATTGACTTCCCGGCTTCTCTTTCCGACCTTTCAAACAATACGTTCATTCACAATTTTATTAATATACTGAATGTAAAGTATGAATTGCACTGTTTCATTGATGGATCCCCAGTCAGAAAGGTAAGTAGTATGAAGAAGTTTAAGTGGCAACTTCTGGGACTTAGTGATGATAAAGACAACACCCCTAGAGCTGGGTCACAGTTTGTAGGTAAAGGATCATGTACCCATTAGTGAAGTCCTAGGTGCTTATTTCTTTTTATTACTAGCTCTTATTTTTTCCCCTGTAAAGCATCATAATAAAGCTCTTAAACTGTTAGAGGCAAGTGTGTTTGAATAAAGAAATAAAAAAATAAAAATTACAAATTAATTGTATTAGACAACCCAAGGTTATTTCTAACAAAGAAGATGACTCCAGGATATGAGCAGATAATGAATCGGAGCGCTCTGTAGAGTGCAGTTGGTGCCTTTGTACAGGTGGAGAAACTAAGGCACAGTGAGCTTAAATGATGTTTGTGTTGGAGCAGAAGGTAGGGTCAGGGCTATGTGTTCTCTGTGCTGCCATTAGAGGGATGGTTTGCTACCTTTGCTCTGTGAAGCCATTGTTTCCACTAAAGCTAGGCTGCCCCAGATTGCTTTATTTAAAGGAAAGGATGAGAAGATTTAAAGCTTGTGTCAGCATATATCCAAAAGACCAGGAAAATGCAGTACTACTGAGTTGGGCTGGAGCTTAAGTTCTTATCGTATAGTTCAAGTTTGGGTTTTTGCCTTGAGCCTGGTCCTCCATGAGGCAGAAGTTTAAAATGAATAGGGGGAGAAAATACAGCCATTGGGTGGATGGTTATTGTATAGAGGGAAGCACAAAGTGGCTTCTTGATAAATGTTTTGCAGTATAAAAATGTGAATTTGGTGTATACGTGTGGTTTTGCACTTATTTTTATCATGTGATGCACACAGCGCCACTCAGCACAGCGACTTGTCACACACTTTATCTTCATGGAGGCAGCTCACAGTTTCACTTTCACAAAATGTCTACTGATGGCTAAACCTCACAGTGGAATAAATTGTCATTAAAATCAAATAGCATGCCCCAACCAAACCAAAGGTTGCGTTCTGTTAACATCAGGGGTTTTTTTTTAATTTTATGTTTTGAAGACTGTTTTCCAAGCCCCTGGACAGTGAATGGAAGCAGTGATGCTTACGGAACCACAGTACTTTGGTGGAAACGATCTGAGATGGAGCAGAAGCGCTACGGGGAGTTGTTCTTTACTGGGCTTTTGCCTTATTGTGTTGTTGTTTTGGTTCTTGGGTCATCTTTTGCCATCTATAAATCAGAGAGAGCACTAGCCAATAGTCTTAAGGAAAAAATTGGCATCTTGATAAAAACCTGATCAAAATCTCTGCCTGTGCTAGAGAAAAGTGAATATATGGTGACTACATAGTGTGGTGTTAACAATATATTTTGGCATAGACAGGGTTATTTTCAGACTCTGCATGAGTTATATATATCTTGATGGGTTAAGTAGGTGGTGCTGGGAAAATTATTGTGATTTTAGTAAAGTAAGTCTTGAGTTCATTCTCATCCCGTTAAAAATAAATATACCTAAGTACCCCTGGCGTTTCAATCCAAAAATACCTGAAGTGGGTTAGTGCGTAAACTCTACCTGACCTAAGTAATTGAAAATCACCCTTTTGATTACTGGTGCATCTACTCATATTAGTCTGATTGGATATTTTTACATGTCACAAAAATACACCAGTTTGGGAATGGGCATTTTTTGTTCAAGTGCTCCTGGGCTGGACCATCAGGACATCACTCAGAAGAGCAGTGCCTG